TGGAGGAAAAATCTGACTCTAAACTCCAAAGCTGGAGTCAGAAAGAAGTTGCTTATAGAAAATTTATTGATTACCAGTCTCAGTCACTACAGGTATATTTATACAAATTATTTGCTAGAATAACCATTTTATTTTATAATCTATGGTTGGCTAATCAAGCTGAATCTCAGGAGTTGAGGTTCTATTCAAGCTCCATCAAGCAAGAAATATTGAAGGTTCAAGAAAACTATACAGAACAGTTCAGCCAATTAGGTGAGAAACTTTTTTGTATTCATAACCTTTTGTAATATTTGTAGTGTTTCTAAATCAGAATCTGTTATTACAGGAAATAAACTGATTGAACTTAGCAATGCTGCCGAAAACTATCACGCTGTACTAACCGAAAACCGGAAGCTTTTCAATGAGCTTCAAGAGCTAAAAGGTACAGAGGATTATGCTAAAAATCTTTCTATTTAATATTTGTTCGGATATGTAAATTTTCAGTTTTTTTTTTTTTTTATGTAGCCTATAAGTTTTATTGTTGTGACTTGCAGGAAACATCAGAGTGTTTTGCCGGGTGAGGCCTTTCCTTCCTGGACAAGGTGCACCAAACACAGTGGTCGAGTACGTTGGTGAGGATGGAGAATTGGTAGTTACCAATCCCACTAAGCCCGGGAAGGACGGTCTTCGCCAGTTTAGGTTCAATAAAGTTTATAGTCCAGATGCTACTCAAGGTGTTCATTTGTTACCGTTCTGTCTCTATTCAGCTCAATATCTCTCTTTCACTTTCATTTCTAGTACATCTCAAAACATCAAAGTATATTAATCCCAAGTTCATTTGATATTTTGGATTCTTGCAGCTGAGGTCTTTTCGGACATAAAACCTCTGGTTCGGTCAGTACTTGACGGATTCAATGTTTGTATATTTGCATATGGCCAGACAGGATCAGGGAAAACTTATACAATGGTATTTATCCATTGGTACTTTCTGAAAAAAAAGATTTCATACGAATAACACTGACGCGCTTTCATTTCCTGTTCTTTCAGAGTGGTCCAGATAATTCAAGCGAAGAGGATTGGGGAGTTAATTACCGCGCGCTCAACGATCTCTTTAAAATCTCTCAATCAAGAAAAGGAAACATAAATTATGAAGTTGGTGTACAAATGGTGGAGATATACAATGAACAAGTGCTTGATTTGCTAACTGATGACAATTCTCAAAAGAAATATCCTTTTGTTATAGAATCATTGGTCTAATTTTCACATTGTTTGTTGTAGCCATTCTTTTTTTTTCCTTGACCTGCACACACTAGGTATCCTTTCAATAACTACAGAGAATGGTCTAGCTGTTCCTGATGCAAGCATGTATCCTGTAACATCAACCTCAGATGTGATTACATTAATGGAGATTGGACTACAAAATCGAGCCGTTGGTTCTACTGCCTTGAATGAAAGAAGTAGTCGCTCTCACAGGTTCGATCACTTGGATTAGAAAAGTAAACATGTTTTCAACATGTTCTTACATTGAATCATATGGTTTCTTTATGCAGCATTGTCACTGTTCACGTTCGTGGTAAAGATTTGAAGACCGGTTCTGTTTTATACGGAAATCTTCATTTGGTGGATTTAGCAGGAAGTGAGAGAGTAGATCGATCTGAAGTTAAAGGAGAAAGACTAAGAGAAGCACAACATATAAACAAATCACTATCATCTCTTGGTGATGTGATATTCTCTCTTGCTTCAAAGAGTTCACATATACCTTATAGAAACAGCAAGCTAACACAACTCCTCCAAAGCTCTCTTGGTAATTAGTTAAAGCTGATGTTTTATAGCTTCTGTGTTTTACTTGATATAATCATACATTTAACTTTGTTTCTATGTAATGTTGGCATTGTAGGAGGACGAGCAAAGACACTAATGTTTGTACAACTCAATCCTGATGCTACTTCGTATTCAGAGTCAATGAGTACCTTGAAATTCGCGGAACGTGTCTCTGGAGTCGAACTTGGTGCTGCAAAGAGTAGTAAAGATGGAAAAGATGTTCGAGACTTAATGGAACAGGTAAATAAACACACTTTCTCACTCGTTTTAGGGCCGGTCCTAAACCCAAACAGACCAAACATTGGCTTTCAGCCTTCTAAAATTTAGGGTCGGTTCTGTTTACAAAACGGCATATTTTTCTACGAAAATATGCAAAACGGTCCCTTTTTATTTTTCCTTTAACTCAGGGCGCTTTGCGTCTCTGTTCTTACCATTAGTTTGACTCAAGAAACATGAATGATTTGTTGGTTTATACAGTTAGCGTCCCTTAAGGACACAATAGCGAGAAAAGACGAAGAGATAGAGAGGCTTCAGCAGACTCATAGGCTTCAGAAACCAATAATGAGAAGAAAGAGTTTTGGACAGATCGATGATATAAACTCAGAAACCGGCGAATATTCATCGCAACAATCGAGATATTCCGTTACTGACGGCGAGAGTTTATCGTCTTCCGTCGAAGCAGAGTACGAGGAGAGACTAAGCGAAGCCACGTATGATGCTGCTTCTGTTGGAACTCAAGGATCCGTGGATGTTGTTGCTAAAAAACCACCTAAGGTTTCAGACAGGTTAAAAACAAATACTACTTGTCTTGTCTCTGTGGTTTTTTAAGAGATCTTTTGTTTTCTTGAAATGTTTTTTAATGGTGGATTGATCAAATGCAGAGCAAAGTCAATGACTTCAAGATCTACGAGTGTAACAAGACCACTTGATAAACTTCGAAAAGTAGCTACGAGAACAACATCGACCGTTGCTAAAGTTACGTCAGGCTTGTCGTCGTCAAGTAAGCAAAACTGAAACC